CCCAGAGCAGGCTGCACAGGACTGCGTCCAGGAGGGGTCTTGAATATCTCCAGATCATCTGGTTCCAACCCCCCTGCGATCAGCAGGGACATCTTCCACCAGCCCAGAGTGCTCAGAGCTTGTTGCCGGAGAGAAGTGGTTTGTGGGTGCCTGGATGAGTCTTGGATGGGGAGCAAGGCACTGGGTGGGAATCTTTTACTGTGATAACTAAAAGACACTTCCCAAGTGACCGTTTGTAAGCGTGATTCCTCCATGCAGTTTGGTTCTGGCTGGGGGGAGGCTCTGGAGGGGGTGGATTCTCCCCCATAGCAAGTCAATAAAACCAGATTTTACGACCGGCTCCAGCCTCGCTGAATCCTCCGTCGGAAACCGCGTGCCTGGAGCAGTACGCAGGCTGTGTGAGAATGGGTTCTGAAGAACTTCTATAAAAAAGCCCAACAAGCCTGAGCAAAACTCTCAATGAGTTTCAAATCTGTCTGGTTTAATCTGTTGCTCTTGATATTAAGAGTAGCCATTGTAGCTTTTTGGCAGAAAGCTCATTTCAAATGCACTTTTTTTTTTCCCCACCTTTTAATTGAAGCGCTGCTCTCTTCTCTGGGGTCCAGAAGCTGAGTCCCAGGTGAAAAGTTTCAGCAAATACTGAAAACATGAGGAAATACATATTCAGATGACTACATGCGCTCACCTAATTAATTGAGAGGGGATAATGCTACTGTACAAAAAAAAAAAAAAAACAAAACCAAACTAAAAGATCTTATACAAAACAATGCTAAGGAATTAATTCTTAGCCAAATTCATTGCTTCTGTAAATTAATGAGTAACTTCCTTTGGGAGGTCTGTGCACTGCAGAAATGCGGGTGACATTTTAGAAGCGAAAGTTGAGTAGTTTGGTGCCTGAAACCTATTAATTCTGCATTTAGAAATGATAATCCCACCTTTATCGTTAGCCGTTGGAGTAATCTGCCGCTGTAGTATTGTCTGCTATGGAGGTTCCTTCTCTCTCTCTGAGCTTGTCTGCTGAGCTGCAGCAATATGGTGTAATTCCTTCATCTTTAATGCAAATGGGGTCTGGCTGCTGCTGCCTGGCTCAGCTCCTTCCTCACGGTCATACTGGTGAGGAGGGGAAGAGTAAGAGCAGCACAAAGGACCTCGAGAAGGCATTGGGGAGGGGAGAGGCCGATGGTGGTGGTTGAGTAACTACACAACAGACGTTGCCTCCTGAGCTCAGGTTTGCTTTGATGCTGAAGTGACTCCGCTTTGTGGAAGAGCAGTTGCAAGGTTAGGCTTAATTAAATAATTCTAAATATCTGCAGGGTGGGTGTCAGGAGGACGGGGCCAGACTCTTCTCAGTGGTGCCCAGTGACAGGACAAGGGGCAACGGGGACAAACTGAAGCAGAGGAAATTCCAGCTGAAGATGAGGAAGAACTTCTTCCCTCTGAGGGTGATAGAGCCCTGGCCCAGGCTGCCCAGGGAGGCTCCCTTCTCTGGAGATGTTCAAGCCCCGCCGGGACACGGTGCTGGTGCAGCCTGCTCTGGGTGACCCTGCGTGGGCAGGGGGTTGGGCTGGGTGACCCACAGAGGTCCCTGCCAACCCTGAACATTCTGTGATTCTGTGAAGTATTCATTATATTTCTAACAACTACTTAGCATATTCATTACTTTTCTGGGAACTAATTAGCATATGTAAATATCTTTCATGCATGTCTGTTATCGTCTTCGGGGGTCCCAAGATGAAGACCAATCCTCTTCATCACGCTGTTTGCTGATTGCCCTTTGTTTCTGCGCCCAGCTCTAGGATCACGTCCATCGTGTGCTTCAGGTTGTTTGGCTCTGGTCTCGTTGCCCTCTTGGTGCCTCCTGATCTCTGGAGCTTGGCGCCTTTGCCCTCCCAAGGCCGAGCTGTCTGGAGTAGAATTATTTAGGAGTCTCTTTTATCCCACAATTATCCCAATTATTTGCTGGGAACCAAGACCACTTTTGTTTCAGTTTATTATTTTGTCTGACGACTCAGTGATAGCTTGTACCCATGTCCTTCCACTACATTCCTTAGTGAGAAAATGGGGATCAGTGCAACAGGTACATTGTTAGATCACTATGCGTGCAGGAATACGAGTTACAGTACTAAGGACTAGTAAAAACTGGAAAATATTAAGGCTTTTTTTGTTATAGTTTCACGTTTCTTAAAATCCCCTCTATCAGTCCTTTTCCTTCTTCTTAACCTCAGCAGATAGTGCTAAACAGTGTTTATTCTTAGATGAAAACAGATTTCCAGCAGATGTGGCCCACTTAAAATACTGAACTTGTGAATTTATTTTCTGTATTTTGGATCTAACCTATTTCAAGTTTATCTTCTCCAGTGCCTATTTGCTGCGGGGGTGCCTTGCCCTGATTCT